ACAACATTGTAATGCTTGGACTGATTTAGCTAATAGTTATTGGTGTGGTTGTGCTTAAACAGATAATTTACAGAGATACCTCCTGGCTAGTTTCTAAAGATAACACTAAAAGGTACAATTTGTGGAAAAGAAATTCTAATAAATAATAATAGGTAAGCGACAAATAGTTAACTATTAAGAAATGTTTAGAAAACAATTAAAATAATGCCTCACATTTCAGAATGTACCTATTATGCTGAAGAAATCTGAAGTTATATACAGTAGGCACATTCAGTACATGTAATGGGCCTATATGACTAGGCCTATTTCTTGAGACTTAATATTCCCTATATAATTTGCTTATATTCATGGCATCTAATGATGACGTAGCCTCATAATATAACACCAATTATTTTTTAGCTTCATGTCATAAAACATTTGAGGTGACAGATACACAATGTCCCTCCAAATCTCTATCAAACATCACCATTCAGTCTCCCTAACTAAAGACTTAAATGACATTCTCACAGTCATTAAAACAGACTCTCCTTGAGACAGAGAGTTCCTTGACTCCAAACGAAGCCCCTGAATAAGCAGATTTGCCTTTCCAGTGCAGTGAATTCCAAATGCATAAATAGTTGCATATAGCAAGTGCCCTTTTCCTGCCATTTGCCAGCCGTGCCTGAATAATCAGATTTTCCTTTGGGAACAACATTTTTTTTTTAGTTCCAGTTATATTCTCTTCAAAGCTCTGCAGTGTTCGTTTTTAAACATTTTTAAAGAAAACAAAAACATTAGCGGTAAGCAGCAATAACAAAAACAGAAAAAGGAAAAGGAACGAAAAACATTGCTCTGCATAACATGATAAAACAAATCAAGACAACTGGCTTCTTCATTTGAAACTTTTCTGCTACACTTATTCAACTGTAACGCAGTATTCAGTAAAACATCTATGCTTCCTTTCAAATCTGTCTTCCGGCAATCATCCGCCACTAAAATTCTTTTTGAACATCATCATCAAAAAGTCAGCTAGGACACAATGCAGATAAAAAGGTACCATACAAACTAAGCACAGTGTTACCGTAATATAAAGTTCCCCACAATGACGACAGAACAGTCTTCTGAACATAAATGCTTCATTCAAATGTACACTAGACTTCACTCTGCCACTTCTTTATGCCAACACACTGCTTTCTACCTTCATCTTCGAGGAGTTTTTTTTTTTGAGTTTTGCTCTCTCATCATGGATGTCCGAAAACAACTGCACTGTAACAAGAGACACCTGTAAAAATCACAGCTGCTTCTTACAACTGCTTAATACCGATTGCCAAATTAGCTGCGTCTTGAAATCACAACGTCTAAACCGCGCTTTAAGAAAAATTCCACGAGCTTTTCACTGTTTTATTTATCATTCCACAGTTCTTGTGGAGATGCGTTTCGATCTTATCTGCTTAAAATCCATCTAATCTTCAGGTTCGTATTTTAATATACTTGAGAGACCAAAAGAGTTTTCTTTGGCGGCAATGCCTTTTGCAGTATATTTACGGATAGGGTTGCACATTTTTTAATAATTCTTTTTTAATTCTTTTTTAATTCTGTCGTTTTAGGCTGTGCTTCAGCACTTCAGCTGTATCTGGAGTTAAAGCAATTGACACCAACAGCTCTTTTTTGTAAAATGCATCTTAAGGGGGGGATTGAGAGAACCCCCACTGCATCCCTCCACGTAACCATCTCACCACAATCCACAGTGTTATGATTTAAGGCTCATTTTAATGACATCAGATGGGAAGGATAGAAGACATCTTTGCAAGTCAGTTGTTACACTTCTTGTGAACTTACGTATAACTTTTAGATGTGGTGAGTTAAATGTAGCTTTTTAAGTCACTTTAGAGAATCTAAAACTGAACTTCCTCTTCCAAAATGGGATGTTCCACACTGGGTATGTTTTAAATCATCAGTTCCAAGAGACATTAGCAAAATATTACCAGTAAGTAGAATGAATTAAATGAAATGAGAGCTTACATGGGAACGGCACCAGTCTAGAACATAAGAACCATAGTCCTATACAAACTGGGCATGGCCATCTTAATGCAAAGCCCAGAATGTAGTTTTGGGCCTTTTAAATTTCAGTGCAGGTAAGGCATCACGGTAAAGAAGCAGAACCACAGCTTCCTCTTGTAGTTTCTCATTTCCATGTAATATAATACTCAACCGGCTGCCTCCTGTCTCCTTTCTCTAGAAAATTTGTATTGGATATCATGGTATTGTATTCTGAAAATGTTCACCTCCAAAATAACCTGACACAATGCTTTGAGTGAGGAAATACTTATACTTCCACATAAAGGTTACAAAGAAAAGCAGAAAGCTGCCTACCCAGCCTATGACCGGAATTGGTCAAACATACATGACATTTTTATTAATGAAAGACCGACAAATACATTTTAATAAGAATACAAACCAAAAAAAAATAAAGATTAAGAAAACAATATACAAAATAAAACACCTCAAAACAGTTTTATTGTAATCAGAACTTGATTCTGTAAAGAGTTCATTATTATATTCTAGCGGCTGGTATCTGCATTTATCACCAGATATCTACCAGGGACCAGATTACTCTGTGCAGCTGTAAAAATAATTCCTCAGATTCTCACCAGGAAAAGCATGAAATCAGAGTTTGCCCTTTGACAGGTGAGGTCTGACCACAAAGCAGCTGAACAAATGGACTGAGAGCACAAACACCTTAAATGCAGGGCCACACAAGGATGCTCTTGAGGAGCTGGCTTCTTCTAATGGAGACTTAAATTGTGAAGCAATTGGCCTTCCATTAATTCTCTTAAGGTGCTTTAGCTACAGTGACAATAAGAAAGAAACTGGACATAAAAAAAGAAGACAGTCCTCTAAGAAAAATCCACATGACAATCCGGCATAAAGAAATCCCTAACAATCCAACAAATTGTGTTTTAAATAGAAAAAAAGTTTTAAAACAGTTAATAGCAAATTAATTTGACACCGAACAACCAAACACTGTCTACTTCAACAGTTAGGAACACAAACAGAAACGTTTATAGGTTATAACAAAAAAGAGGTTCCCTTCACATTCACACACAGTAAGTGGTAAAATTGTAAATAAAAAGAAGAAAGATTCCATCATTCTGTGGAATATTTCATACATATTTGAGCATGTTGAGCATCCAGCTGTAGGTGGTCTATGTGACTGTTTAAATTAAGTTTGTTCAAATTGGCATCCCATCCAGTAAAGGCCTGGCATGGTCACTAGCCTGCTTAACACTACCGGGATGAGCTCTGGCCCAATGAGCTGCTGTGTCTCTGGTATGGACTTCACCTTTTATTTTAACAATGGCTGGTCAGTTGGTGCTGTTCTTAAGAATATTACTTCAACATTCCCCGTGTGTAGCAATCCGATGAACCACAATATGTCTATAGAGTATGTCTAGATATTAAAATACATAAATAAATACAAACCTGGAGCTTTCAAGTGGCTCCACTAGTAAAGGGGCTCACACAGAGCACAGGCTGTGTCCTGTGATGGACGTTATTCAATTCTGCGTGATGTCACTAAAAGACTGACTAAATAATTTGAGACTGACATTCGCCTGACAGTGCTGCAAGGGGTTTAGATGGTGTTAATTGGTCACTTTTCCTAGCTTTTCGCAAAAATGTACCTCTTGCCACTTGTGGGACACCTGCAGGCTTGCAGTGATGTCAGGGAGAGATGCACCAGTGCCGCAGTCTGCAATGACTCTTGTAAACCACTAACTATCTTGTAAGGCGTCTCAGAGTCAGAAGAGCAGGGCTACAAGACTTCATTCTTTACACACAGTACAGGAAACATGCCATAAAACAAGGGCGACTCAAAATAGAGCACGCATCTAATAAATTCCAATATTTGAAAAAAAGGTTTAAGGAAAAAAACAATGGCATTTGATTACAGATGACTTTTGTCTGAGTCTAAAAATTTAAAGTTTCAGGCTAAGACATCCGTTAGCTATGTTTTCTCTGCACTACCAAAGCATAAAGACTCAGCATTTAAGTGCCATTTGACCACCAAGAAAGAAGATAATGTGTTACACACTGCACCAAAAAGAAAAAAGAGGTACAAGGTTTCCAAGCTCCATCCGAATTTAAGACCAGCAGCTTCCTGTTTCTTGCTCAGGTCTTAGAAAAAATAGCTGCTGTGGCTATAGAAATATGGTCACAGGTCAGATTTCACAGAGTAATCATAACATCAGACATTATATACAGGACATGTACAATAAAACTGGCAAGAGGGCTGCTAGAAAGGGAAATCAGACAGATAAATGTCCTGTTTTTGTAACCAAGGTTACAAAAACCTTTGGCTAAGTAAAAAAAGAGGAATTAACCTGTGAAACTGAAACACACAAAAAACGATTTTGAGCCAAAAGCTTTCCCCATAAAGCATGTGCATCTACACTCCACAGTAATACTTGGTCATCTGTGACAGGCTTTTTATAGCAAATAAAACAGCATGAGAAATGGGTACTGCTGCAGCAATTAGGCAATTAGTACAGGGCACCACTTTCAATTATAGTCATAAGGAGTTTGATACAACCGTCACACATGACCCACATTCTTTAAACTTATTAATGGATCGTGACAAAAGTTATACGATCGTTATATTATGATGCCAGTTTTAAACACTGCCAATTATATTTTTTCCAATAACTGCGTTTAGTTGTATTAAGCTGCTAGAAGCTAATTGGGAATTAAAAGACTCTGTGAAACCACCTGAAACAGAGCACTGCTAACCTTGATCTACTGCTACTGTACTTCAATCCTGGGATCCTGGGAAGCTTCAATACCGCCCTGACATCTGTAGTGAAGCAAATCTGTTCTGTACTTGAACTCAAAAACTGAAATCTGCTGTTAAAAATGAGTCAATATTTGCCAGGAAGTCACTGTGATTGATTTACCATACAATGGACTGGAACTTGGTTTGCTCTTAACAGGTAAACTTATATATTATTTCTGAATATACTTACCAATAAGCCCAATGTCCAGAGGCTGTCACAGGTGTGGAGTGTCCATGTTAAGTCAAAAGTCTAAAAAAAGGAAAAAGAAAATTCTTGTTGTTAACATAAGTTATGAACACTTGTCTACAGCCACATGTATAAAGAAAAGGAATTAAAGAACCAGGACGAAGAAACTTTCAACATCCAAAATAATTAAGAGCTGGTGTTAAAAATGCATGTCCCAAATCTGTAAATCTGTATCACAGTCATAAGTCATGACCACACAATTCTTTCTTGATGGTTCAAACAGAAGCTGCCTGACAGCTGGAAGGCCACAGAATAGGACAAATCAGTGATTTGTAGAATTGGCCACAACTGGATAAGGCGAGTCTGATGCAGACCGAGAAGGCAGACAAACAACATATTTGCAATGACCCATGAAGTTCATAACACGGCCTTTGTGAGACTTTACAGCAAGGAAAAGGATGTCATTCACAAAAATAAACTATGTCTATATCACTCCATCAAAGTTCCTTTTTTTAACTCATTCATAAAACCACTGTCAGGTTAAATAACGTGACTGTCATCTTGCACTGGCACGTTAAAGGCTGGAAAATCACAGGCAATTGTCAAAGCAACCAATTAGAAGTCAATATGCAAACAGGGCTCCAAGACTGAATTTGGAACTCAAATTGGAATGTGGAACAAATGCATTTGTGCATTAATATGAAGGGCTCACAATTATCTAAAAGATAAAGTAAAAGAAGTGTAAGCAAATAAAATCACAAGCTGATACCAACACAATGCCAAAATGCAGTGGTACACCTTAATCATAACTGTGTTTTTGAGTTGATTTGTGAAAAAATATGCTAGTCAATATTTTGTATTAAAACATAAAAATGTTACAAAGAGGAGGCCATTTAGCCCACCCTGTGCAATCAATTACCTAGGAGCTTATTGATCCAAAGATCTCAACCAGCCCTATTTCAAAAGCAGCCAAAGTATCAGATTCAACACGTGGGTGGGCAGTTTGTTCCAGACACCACGCAGCAGCTACATGCGAGATAAACAAGGGCATGGTTCAGCCATGCAGCTCAGCAACCACCTGTGCAAATGAAATAGACACTACAGGATAAACTGGGTAACAGACGACAAAAAATAACATGTGTTTTGGACAAAAAGAGCACTCCAGATTTATGGCAGGTAAACAAAGGTGGTATACTTAAGCTGCAATTACAGATAATGAAATTGCTCAACAATATGGAAAAGGAACACGTTTCATATAAAACAATAACAGATGGATAGAAGCAGTGGCAAATGCTATCAACAGAAATGTAAAACGGTATATAAATATTGGCAATAGGTTTACCCCAAATTATATATACAATATATATATATAATAGTTCAGGTGGGTAGCTGCGTCAGCATGCGTAGGCTGCAAAGGAACAAGTAATAGGTTTATTCCATGCTGAAAAAAAGAAGAAAGAGAACACAACGTTTCGGCCGTGGAGCTTTCTTCAGGTGTCAGGTATATATAATATATATATAATTCCACACATTACAGTAGTGATCTATTAGTAGTGATCTAAGACCAGAAGACAACTTTGAAAGCACAGGACAATTTCAAAAGACTTGTTTTCTCTGCTTCTCTGTCCCGACAACACTTTTGTTGTTTTGTCTGTTAACATGAAGTGTTTGTCTGGCGTCATGTTCAGAAACAGATTAATAACAACTACAACACCTTTGTAGGCTTTGTAGTTTAAACGTACAAGCTGCAAAATCAAGCTGAAAGACATGATAAATCCCCCGTGTCTTGACAACTACCTCAACGACCTCAGTTAAGCTGCAGGATTTCACTACACTACTATGCTGACACTATATATATTAACAGTGATAAAATCATCAACCTAAAGTTGAATAAAAAAATAAATATTTTCCTAATAATATGTTGTTATAAGCTTTGTTATATATTTTATGGTTATTGCAGACCATCATATTTTTTATCATTTTCAGTGTATGCCAATCAGTGAAAAGGGGTGTTTTGATGGTATTGCCTTCTGTCAAGTACAGGTACATGCTGGTATTATTTATTAATTTAAAAGAGGCCTATCAAGATGGTAACAGCCTTTACTGCCATGGTAAATCTGACATGAATGAATAACTCCAAAGGAATTTACAGGCGAGTACTTTCATAAAGAATGTGACCTGTTTTTTCACATAAAGTGGTAATAAGTTGCTTGCGTCCTGGGTGAATCCTGGCCAGAAAAAAATCAAAAGCATCATTGAACATCTCATAACCTGAAAAACAACACAAGTTCCCCTTTCCTCCTCCCACAAATTTTGTTTACTTCTCTATTCACATCCTTGTTTTATATAAAGCCTGAAGGCCTTGTTTTGAAGCAAGCCTTTTCTGAGAACTGGATTCCAAATTTCAATAGAAAACAGATCAACAAAACAATTGTGTATCTGAAGGATCTGCACTTACGGTCCAGAGTCACTGAACTCTGAAAGATATTACTGGACCAATTAATTGCTTCATTGGAACAAGTGAATATTTTCGCGATGTATAATAATTGAACATTTTAACCTAACTGTTAAAGCTGAATGCTTGTGGATCTCTCAGACTAGAGTTTCAGTCCCCTGCTGCAGACTGCTAAATCATCCTTTGCTTTTCTAAAGGTCTGATTTAGCACTCTTTGGATCTAACACAGCCTATCTCTAATAATTCTGTTAGTAACCAGTAGCAAGTTTATAATTCTAAAAAAGTCAGCTGTATAATAACAGGGCATGATTTATGTCACGTGCTCAGACCATACTGTATGAAACTTGCTGACTTTATTTCCTAACCATATTTGACAACAAATAAGTGGCATGTGATTATTTTTTGGAGAAAAAAAAGGAATCGAGCAGCTCCAACTTACACTGAACCGAAGGAACTGATTAGTTCCAACCATTCAAATGCAATCAAGAGTGCAGTGCCCCATTACAACTCTGTATTACACTGAGCCCAATCTAAAACGCAGCGAAGGTCTGAGTGAAACTCCAGAGGCAGGAGTCGAGGAAGCACTTTGATTGGCAAACACGAGAACAGGCCCAGGCAAGACAGTCACACAGAGCTTTTTCCTTTCAGTATCAAATGCTGTCCGTTTTTTTTTAAAGATCCTGATGTGTTGCATCTTGTAATTTCATTTATCCGAGTTAAGTGGAGCAGAGGCACCTTACAAAGCAGAAACAATAATCAGGAAAGGGATGGGCCACTGTAATGGAGCTGCATGCTCAAACCCTTTAAAAAACAAGCATAGGTACGGTCTTATCCCTGATGGCAAATTGATTATTTTTTTTTATAAGGAGTACAAGGGAGTAGATCAGCAGTTACTTCCACAAACGGCAGCCATGAAGCAATTAAACCGATGCAACATTTAAATATTAAATATTATAAATAAGGTAACAGATGAACAAGCTGGTTTGTGGTGAGTGGGCGTCGGAATGCAATTCAGGCAAATTAAAGGCTTTCTTGACAAGAGGTTTAATGCCCACCACAAAGGAAGTTTAAGATTTTGTCAGTCTGATGCGCAAGCACTTTCTTCTGTCTGCATTTGTTGACTCAGGAAGAAGGCTGAGGCAACGTACAAGGCCTACCGCCTCCATGGTCAGAACAAGCATTCCTGCAGATGCACTGAAGAGCCATCATCTCAAAAAAGCCAGAGTGACAAGCTCGGTGTTGCATTGGGTTGAGAATGAACCACAAATTCTCTAGAAATCACAATGTGCAGATGAATCTTTGTTACATTCTTGTTTTTTATACTCCCCTCCCGTGCAGGAGGTTTCATTTTTGGAGGTGGGTGTGTCCCTAAATTGGCTCTCTCTGTGGATTGGCTGAAGAGAGCGGTCCGGTTTTAAAATGCCGATACGGGACGTCCGGAGAGAGAGGTAGAATAGAGGTGTGGAATAAACTACGGCAAACTTTTGTGAGACTAATGTTGTTTTGGAGTTTTAGTTAAACACAAGATCTGTGGGGTTTGTTTATTTGGCTGTGGTGGGGATTGGGGATTGTTGTGGCTCTTGAGTTTTTTTTGAGGTTTTCCATTACACCTTAGTTTAGCGCAGTAAGTTAGCCTGCGGAAGATGGCTTGGTATCTGAACACAGCTGACCGTTTCTTTGTATTTTATAGAATTCTTAAGTTGGCTTGAATCAATATGGCAAGTAAATTACCAACAACAACAAAAAAGATTTCACAACAGCGTTGCTTTAAGATGGTTTAATTTTTCGAATTGTATCAGATTTCAATTCTCAAAGAGCTAGGATCTTCCAAAGTCAGGAAATAAAAGCTATGATAAAACAACTAAAATGCCACCAGTGTATTCTGGATATAAATCTCCTTTAAACATTACTTACAAAATTCCAGGGAAAGTGTAGAAAAGTCGACAAAAACACTGGGTTTCATTTTCCCCTGCATTCAGTGTCTTAGCAAAGTATAAGCTGAGCAGCCTCCCATGCAGACTGGTAATTGGCACCTTTGAATTGAGACAACTGTTCCCCATGTTTAGTAGAGAAGTATGGTATTTTGTACGCAGTCAGTTATGACAAAAGCTGATAAAATTTATCATTTAAAAGTGAAAATAAAAGACTAAACAGAAGAAACTCCAACCCACTACTCAGCAGGTGGAATGCATTATCGGTGAAGTTTAAAAAAAGTGTAAAATATCAACTTCAAGAGGTTTACTGTGTTATACAGGAAGGTCTGAGATTTTTTTGGGTGTTTAGATTTCCTGATTGTTGCTAGTGCAGGTCCACGGAAAAAGAGTGCTTTACAGAGGGCGATGGCTATACATCCCACATCTCCTGCATTTTAATTGCTTTGCTGAAGCCAAACTCACACAACAAATACATTTGCAAAATAATTATTTTTTACATTTAATTTGGATAATGACTCGATGAACTCCATACAGGATTTGGCAGACAGAAAAAGAACAAAGGTAAACTCATCAGCAAGTCTGTCTTTTACCCTTCCCTTTTTTTCCCCCGACATCCACATTTACTTATAGTTTATTTTCTTGTTGTTCAGCTTTAAAACTACTACACACATCTA